GGGAAGGGGATAGCATAACTGAGGGTTTACTGGGGTCAGCTGCCGACCAGCAGGTCACACAGAGACTAACTTTGCGGTTGATAATGTGTCCACTCTCACCTCTCCTCCATGCTGAATCCTCTCTGAGCTCTGTATGTGTCAATAATGAATCCACTGTGCTTGGAGGCATTAAATTAGCTCGCCACAAGCAGAGAGGAGAGGATAACTCTGGCCGGAGTCCAGCCAGATGAGGTGGGAAGGGTCACAGCTGATTTACTGGCCATCCTGTGTAATAGCTTGTAGGAAAGCAGGAGACCAAATTTGTTGTTACCTACTCAAGCTGCACTCTTTCACCCCATTCATGTTGATGATGAAGAACGGTAACGAGTGGGGGAAAAAAAGTGATCGCAGTGTGGAGCTAGATGAAGCCGCCAAACCTTAAATCTTCTAGCAGCGCTGCTTTGCATGTCAGCAGACAAGTAATGGTAGATTCTGACAATGCCACTGCCCCTGCTGACACAGAGTCGCCCCTGTCCAAATACTCTGGTAATGAAGAATGAATAGTTAGCTCATTCTCCACCTCTCTCTCTTGCTGCATCCATACTCCTTGTCTCATACTTTTTCATGCTAAGTGATATTAAGGGCACACCTGTAGTTTGGTACTCTTCTTCGATACTGGACCCTTGGCTATTGAGAAACGATTGCTTGTTGGAGGCCTGGACTCTGTTGAAGTTTTAAATGATTTGATCGCTAACATTTGGTTGTGGTGTAGGTAATTCTGCAGCTTGATTGTGAAGGAAGTCACCCTATGAAGCTTACTAAATATTGCGTCCATTGTAAACAACCATCCTGTTGCTCTGAATTTAATTGCTCAATATTTGAAGCCATTGTCCAACATACTGAATGGCTTTGTTCACTTCTTCCGATATCTTTGTCAAACTACAACAACAGGCTGACTACAATTCAAAACATGCAGAAACTCTGTCAACCACTTCTTCTGTTCACTGATTGGCCAGAATCAAATCCATTGGTGAAAAGTCAAGCTCAATAGGATAAATTCCTGAAGAAAAACTGAAGGGAGATGAAGATCAAGTGGAATTACATTGGAAGACCATGGCTAGGATGATCTGGATGAAGAAGACCTTTGGAACACCATTCTTTAAACAGATAAGACGAAAGCAGATTTGTTTGACCGTAATGCATAGCACTATCTTTAGAAATGACCAACCACAACACAGAAACCCAAACACCCAAGTACAGTAGTGGAGGATTAATGATTGGAGTCATACTCTTTCAAGTGTAGTTTTTTTTAAATCTTTCTCTTGAGTATTCTTCTTCTAACTGGCGACCTCTGACCCTTTTGTGAGTCCTTTTTTGGCGTTATATTAGGATCTCCTAAATGTTTCAGCTGGACACAGGGGATGGCGTCCATTGGCCAGCACTGCCATCCACATAAGGCTTGTTTGAGTGCTGGGGGACTGGACCTTGGTCTTTGAAGTGAGACAGATTGCTTTTAGCTTGTCTTCTTGGAATAGAGAGCTTCCTCCTTCCACAGTCAGGAGATTATCCTCCATCGATGGACAAAGCCAGAGCTGTCCTCAACAGCACCTCCAATCTGTGGCGCTCGACAAACACTCAGTGCTGACCTCTGACCCATAATGCTGAGTCACCCAGCCATCTCCACCCCCACTGCTTGTTAATATTTCCCATTGCCTGCCTTCTTGGCGCTCCTGCAAGCTAATAAGCAGGCATCAAACAAGGAGTCAATTGCAACCACACAAATTATGTTATTGGTCGTAATGTCATTTAGGCTGATCAGCGTCTACATGTAATACATTTAAGGAGCACCAGCTTTGAAGGGAGCTGTCTGTTCAGAGACTCTGCAGGAGCACCTGGACCGGCCATGCAGCTGGCGGTACCAAGGACACATCAGTGCTCTGGTATGGCTTTAAGTGACAGCATGGGGTTCTCATTTTCCCATCTCCATGGTTGGCGTTTGCTGGCCAAATCTTATGACAGGAACGCCGGGGATGAGTCGAAGCTCCTAGAGGTTTATCCCTTGCTTGAATGAGCCATTTGGGAGACCATAGGTTAGCAGTGATCAATTGTGTGCAATCACCCGCCCTCGGCTTCACTGATTCACTGATTGTTCCATCGTTGAACATATGGATGGATCAATCATTTTAATGTGAGCTTGCAGGACTATGCAAATGTGCAAAGCCGGGTAGCTAAAGGAGAGCCTGCATCAGTATTGATCTACCAAACTTTAATTTGTTAAAATATTTTACTCATTAGGCTCTTGTGCATGTAAGATCCTCCTTCTCCTGCGTCTGTGTTGTTATTCCTACAGGCCAGCTGGAATCATACATTACCCTGAAGCTGAAATAATTGAATTCAGCCAGGATTCCAAAGAGTAATCGTTCTTGGAAAAGACATTTTCCTACAAGAAAAGGAAGCATTAGCTAATTGTTGAACTGTCCTGGCCGAACTCTCCTGGCACAAGCTCAAGGCTCACATAAATACAAAATATATGGAGCTATCTTATTACTAGGACATACATTATTACTGTTTTTACTCTGCAAATTATGTGCATGATCTGTGAGTTTACAGTAGCTTGCAAAAGCATGCATACCTCTTAAACCTTATCAAAATTAGTAAGAGTTCAACCACACAATCTCAGTGTATTTTACAAGAGTTGAAATAGTATTGCACAACTGTGAGAATACTTTATGTATTTTCTTTATTTAAAAAAAATTAAAAATCTGAAACACTGGTCAACAGTGTGCAGCTTTTTGTTCATTATTCTAGCTCAAACTGAGTAAACTTTGATGGAAAGTTTTTGTGAACAAAAACATCCATAAAGGTCTGATTAGTGGAGTTCATGCCTGAAAATAGTGAACTGGATTCATACCAGATAAGTTACACACTGATGGCCTCTAGTTAATTATCAGGTGACTATATGAACGCAAATTAGGGATGCACCAATCCACATGTTTTAGCATCGGCTGATTCTGATCTGATACAGAAAAACAGTGCTGACTTGACTTTAAATGCTTTTTAACAAAACACACAGACACTTATGCATAATAAATACACCAATAGCTTCACAAATTTTGACAAACATGTAAAAAATATACAACTTTAATCAGTTCAGTCGGAACAATTCGGAGTATAACAGAGAATCTAAAATAGAAATAAACTAAAACTGACCAAAACATCAAGTTGACTACCTTGGCCAAACATTTAAAAATAAACTGCAACAATAAATAACGAAGCATGATGTTGCACATAACACAACGCATAGATTTAGACTGAATAGATGTGTCATGACTCATCTGCCACATTGTCACCGATATATGATCCGAGTCAAATATTAATATTGAATCTTTGTATCTCTGACACAAATCTAGTCACCTTTCCATGCTTTTCAGTATTAAGGAAAATGTGAATAACTGCACACAGTTTTTCTTTCACAACCTTCTGTTGGTAGGTCACATAAAATCCCGGTAATAAACAATAAAGTTGTGGTTGTAAGCTGGCAAAATGTGAAAAAGTTCAATGGACCTGAAGGCTTTTTTAAGGTGATGGATCTTTACGTTCGTTGGCATTTCAAAGCTCCTTTTTGCCTGTGGAAGCGGTGGATTTGATGGGAATTTAAAGATTTCTAAAGAGGAAAGGATTCTCATCTAAAAGGATTCTTGTCAAATTAACAAGGTGTAATTAAAAAAGCAAGACAAAAGTGATTTTTTTTTCTTCAGCCTTTTGCAAAAGGTTATTTTTTTAGGATTTCTGTTAACTAAAATGTGTTTGGTAAAGTCATCAGTGACAGCAAAAAGGACTTTCTGTTATTGTCTTAGCTAAATGTGGCTACAATGACTTTTTGACAGTGAAAGCATCTCTTGCCCTTCTCACTAGCTCCTTCTTTGGCCTATTCATTGCACAAAGCTGCTTAAGCACGCTTAAGCGCATTAGCATTTGGCTGCCAGGGGACCATATTGACCCAGCATTTGGATGGCCTAAATGAGTGAAAGATGGAGCGATTTGTTGGGGCTTTAGAAATTTCCTTTTGGGAGTGGAGGGGTACGAAGGAAGCGGTGAAGGGGTGGGGGGTCGTCTTCAAGGAGTTGTTCCACTTTCTCTCAGGGCACGGTGTTTGTTCTAATCTGGTGTGCCATTTCTTCGTGGCCGAAGCAGGTCTGATTTGTGACATTTCAGCCTAAAGAGCCTTTTTCTGCCGGCTATATTGGCTTGACCCGATTATCTAATCTGTGCTTTGAATTTCAATCAGGTTCCCCTCAGTCTCTGCTGTGTGCTATGGGAACCTCTGGCTAAGGGATTTCCTTATTCAGCTTTCTTCAAACACAGATGGCCGAATGTTTAACTAATTGTTAAGAGAGTTGACAAAGCCGAATTTAACCCTGCACACAGTCCAGGGGCTCAGTACATAGTCCGGATAAAGAGGAGGACAGTGAGGTGGGAGTTTGTGGGACAGTTCTTTAAAGCAGGCATTTGAACGCAACACAGTGTTGAGGATAAATTAACATCTGGTTAACAGTGAAACTTGCTCAATGTGTGCATTTTGTTATGTTTCTATCTTTATATACTTGTGATCAGCATATAGTATAAGTAATTCAAACACTAGATTCTAGGTTTAGTGACGCTGAAACATAACATTAATGATTTTTAACTGCTGTAATTAGATATATAATTTTTTATTTATTGTGTATTTGCTAGAAGAATCAAAATTGTTCTCAAAATTCAAATATTTAGCTTCTGGCTTTTCCAAAGACATAAACTTGTTTGAGAATTTGTTGACTACAAAGAGAAGAAAAAATTAATTAATTAACCAGTTCAGACCAGGAAGTGTGTTGTTGACGTGAAACTTGCTAACACCAAATTAGTGGAGAAAATCTGGAATAAATCTTAACTTATGGGTCCAAAGTTCCAACCAGAACTCTATGTATGTTTCTGTTTTTCATGTTTTTATGATCGCTCACTCTCTCTGTCTTTGTTTCTTCCAGCATCTCTGTTCTTCCAGCACGCTGGAGGTCATCACAGACACCAACTATGACAAATTAATGTTCAGAGAGACTAATAACGACCGAAAGGTTAGTTCTCTCTCACTTACCTGAATCGCTCTGTGAAATGTTGATTATCTGTAATTAGGTGTGAAACCTGTCTTATCAGACCGTTCTGTAGTTCTACATTTCTTCTACCTGTCCCACTTTAGTAAAGGTGAGGTCCTGCCTCACCTCAGCAGTGGATAACGCAGTCCTGCCTGCCTTCGTTGCTCACTGATGTTAATTAAGTCTCTAATTACTGAGTCCTCTCCTCATTATTACTGCCATTAATCAGAGCACATTTCATCTCTTCCCTTTCATTTAGGTTGTTCTTGAAGTTGAAAAGAAGACTTTCAATTACATCAACCCGAACGTTTTCCAGGCAAACAACGGGACCTCGGTAAGTCCCGACCCTTCATGTGCTCGGCTTTCCTCTCATCTTCTAGGAACGTACAGCGATTTAGATTTACCCTAACAGCTTCATAGACTCTCCCTTTTTCACTGTGATAATGGCAGCTGCTGTTTATAAGGATTTAAACTGATTATCTGTGAAGTACAAGATGAAAGAGGCACAGCACAGTGGTTTGAATAGGTTTCAGTGAGGCTAAAATAAGCGCATGCTGAATGAATGTGTCACAGACAGACGCCCTGCATTCAGTAACTCTGTCCTAACAAAGCAATCCGTGTCTTATTATTTTGGCGTTATTGTTTTAATAACCTTAAGACCAGATCTTTGCTGGCAAATCCAGTTCCAGGGTGCCACCAGCGTTAATCGGAGCCGCCCTGGAACTGGATTTGCCAGCTCTGGAGGATAGATTTAAGATCCGTTCTTGCAGTTCACCTTCATGGACGGTGTTTGAACCCACATGTCTTTGGAGTAACTTTGTGTGCACACAGGCTGAGTGTTAAGTATGTGCAGCTGAAAGCACCTTTTACATTCCTCTACTTTTATATGGCTGTATATTACATTAAGTAGTTCAAAGTCGCAGCTTGTTAAATTCCCCAGGAGTTACACACGCACATACACACACATGCACACCTACACACGTACGCATGCACACACACCTTCAAATCAACAGAATGAAACATGAAGCCAGAGCTTATTAATGCTGTTTGACTCATAATATAAAACGTTAATATAAGCCCCCGGGAAATAAATCAGCAGTCATTTATGAACCTCCAGAGGTAAAATAGCTAAAAATCATCAGACATAAACTACATAAACAAATTTAAGGACAATCGTGGAGAAACAAAGTGATTAGAAAAGAACATAGCAGGAATGCTGTTTATCACCCAACACATAAATATGCTAAATGAGTTATTTCAAAATTATACACTTTACATTATTAGGATGCATTTTTTCCCCCTTAATCATTGTTTTATGGATGAAAACAGAAAGTCCTGGCTGGATTATAAGCAAGCAGCAGATGGCCCAGCATTTGTTTTCCTTCTGGTAACTAAGATTTTTCTGTTTTATCACTTTTTGCCTCTTTTGTAAAACCCACATGAGGTTTTTCTTCTTTGTTTTTTTGCTCCCGTCTGATTAGGATGAATTTTGATGTGAATTTACCCTGGAATAAGGTCAGGTCAAGTTTATTTGTGCAGCACATTTCAGCAACAAAGCAGTTCAAATTACTTTACATGACGATACATCATGTCAAACAATGATGAAACGAGCAATGAACATTACATTTTGTCAAATGCCATCATCAAAATTATACATCAAATATATTTATCAATGTTCTAAGGAGGGTTTTTAGTTTGTTTCAGACCAGAAGACCTGAGTAAATTTAAAGGTTAAAACAACAATAGCAGCTCTGTAATGTATAAACCAAACTATGTATGAGTTCCTGTAGTTTTTGTTGGAGCAATAGTCATTTAATCTTGTAAACATTCGTCAGGTGATTGAAGGCTGACTTTGTAATTGCATTTATGTGTTACTGAAAGTTCAGTTTCCTTATAAAACCTAAGAAAAGCTTAAAATTTAGTAGTGAGCTTTGGCCATAAGATGTGGATCATGATTCAAAGAATGACTTTCCCGGTACAATCAGGTAAACACAACATCCTGCATTGGTTGGCCAAAATCAATCTTGCAGGAAAAGAGAGGACTCTGTTGTTTGAAGGAGCTCACAGTAGAGCCACTGCTTCTCCACACTGAGAGTCAGTAAGTTCAGACATCTATTCAGGATGCCTCCTGGTGTCTTATCTGTGACAGTCAAAAAGATGAGCTCTAGCAAATAGATGATATTCGTTTGATTCTGACGGCAATGCAGAATATTCAGACAATTCCCTGTGGGAGCTAAAATGGCCAACAGTGAAGTTATTGATGTTTTCTTTGTGTGTGTGTGTTTATTAAGAAATTAAGTTTAGGACTGTTGTAGTTTCCAGCTAATTGACATGTTATTATTGACATTGACAGCTAATAACAGGGTACTTGTTTCTTTATTACTGCAGCAACATTTTCACTAAATGAGGTTGTGCACCATTAGGTTTGTTGCATGTAAATCACCAAAAGTGCATTTACACAATTTCATTGGTATTTTCACGAGTCTCAAATGGATCATGGCGGCCATGTTGGATTTTGTGTAAAAACCTTCACCTTTTTAACATTAAAATTATTCCTCGATACCTGGATGGTAATTTTTCTAACTTTAAACTTGGAAATTTGAACTTTTGAGTAAAAATGCTAAATAAACTGCAGTTGCATCCTTAGCCAGTCATCCATTAGATCCTGAGAATGTTTATTTTTTCCACATCTTTTGTTTGTTTTCAGGATGAAAGAAGCTGAAAAGCTTCAGATTTATTTCTACTCCTGCTTTAAAATGTCTGATTGGATGGTAGTATTTGAAAACCCGGGAACATGAGCCAGTTTGTGAAACAGTTTCTGCAGGAGGCTGATGTCCCCCCTCTGCCTTCAACTTCACCTTCTCCTCCTCCTCCCTTCCTCCCTCTCCATGTCCTCAGCAAGCAAGACAAGATGGATGACATAATGGGAGCATCAGAGATAATCTGATGGTCATGGTCTAGTTAAACACACCGTGTTATGATCCTTATAAAACAAACTACCTTTCCAAAAGGATAAATGTCCCACCTCCCACTCCTCCACCGGGGTGGGGTAGACGAAAAAAATCCATTGCATCCTTCATCAACTGCAAGACTTGTACCAGCTTGACAGAAATTTAATTCGAGGCAGCTCTTGAAAATAATTATTGTATTTTGAGAGGAGTAATCATTGGCCGGGACATGATTGAATGTGTCCATGCCTATTGACTTTTGCTATGATTAATAGGTTTGTTTAGTCGATATTCCCATCGAAATTGTATAATTAATTATCCCCGGTGCTGTCACGGCAGGACGATGGAGAGCCCTGATGAGTATTTGGGAAGATTAAATTTTCCAGGCGCTCGCAGCGTCAAGGGGCACCATGGGGCCTTGCTCCGGCGGAGGGATGGGAGGAGCACGACGTTAGCTTGCGCACTTGTGTGTGTCCGCGCACACATCTGCACTCCTGCAAATCAGTTTCCTCCCTGCAGCACACACCCGCGGCTCAGTCCCTCTCCCCCATCCGCATTGATTTTGTTTCACTATCTCTTTATTGTAACTTTATCAGTGTGGTGTTGGCAGATGGGGGACCAGGATGTGTTTGTGTTGTGATGAACCTTCCTGTCCGGCGTGCCTCTGCTCGTCATGCTGTTGGCGTCGGCCCTCGGCATTACTCACAAACCAGGAGATGTTTTAAACAAGAAGAGGAAACGCTCCTCCTGCCCAGAGTTCGCCCGTCGCTGCTCTAAGTGGCACTTCAGAATCAATGCTGAATAAAATCCAACATTAAGGGATTTAGAGTGATCCAGCAGTAGTTCTGTCATTTGGCAGGAAAATGTTTGTGTCACTTTATCAAAATAGATGGCTCTTTAGCTTTACGTAAATCTCCTGGCAGAAATTAAATTTGGAATATGTCATTTTACATTTTCAGTCCATTGTATCAGGAATCGCTTCACTAAATCACCAAGAGACGTGAAATAGTTTGCAGATTTATTTTACCAGCAGTAAAATTTTCACCAGAGTTTTCATCAATTAGCTTTTTTTACAGGCAAAAACTAAATAAAGACTCATTCATATGCCTGAGATTTCAGTGAATAAAAAGTGAGATGAACATATTAGTATTGGTTCTGGGTCAGTTTGTCACTTAATGTCTCCAGTTTCTACCAACACCTTACTTTATTTGGTCACTTTTTCCTTCTAATTTGTATCTGTAAAAAAAATGTTTACTTGAACTTATTTATTTATTTGTAGTTGATTATTTTCCTATAAATTATGGAAATATATTGTCATAAACATTTTCAGTTCTAACCGCTGAGTTTAAGAGTGACCTGGCCAAAAACGGCACAGCATAAATTGACATCAATAACAAAACAGACAATAAAAAAAATATGAAGTGCAAAGAATCTGACAAAGAAAGAGCAGGCATTATTATTGCAGTGACAATTTAAGATTTAGAACTGAAAGATTTTTAAAATAGATCAGAAAATTTATTTTTCTTGAGGAATTTTAATTTGAGTTTAAATCCCTGGATAGATTTAGCTTTTTTTTTTTTTGTCCAACAGGCTTAAACATTTAATCAAAAACACTGAACAGCATATTAACTACACAAAAAATATATTTTTATAGCATTATGTCAAGCTTATCCTTATAGCTTTGATGCATATAAAGTGTTTTAATTTGAGACTACAACTCTCAGTACAATATTTATATTTGTTTACAAATAAATATAGTATATGTGTTTTAAATCTTTTCAGAATAGAAAATCTAAATAAAGTTATAAATGTTATTGTGTTTCTGTGCATAAAATAGCCCCTTAAATGGTATTTTTGGGGCTAGTCGATATAAATATTGCAAATTTAATGAACTAAAACTGCGATTAAAGAAGATTAAAGTTTGACTTAATTTAAATGACATTTTCCTGCTGATGAAATGATTCCTGCTGCTGTTTTTCTGGGAGTGGCTCATTCTGTTCCCACTCCACTCTCCCGTCTCGCGCCCACGCCACTGACACTTTTTTATCGCTTTTCCACACAAAATAATGAAGATACTATAAAAAGGAGTGGGAAAAATATGGCCGCCTCAATGAAAGCCAAGAGAGATGGGTAAAAATCAAATTAAATGACCTTTCACCCCAGCAGTTATTGATGGTCTTCAGTGGCAGCAGGTGTTGTCACAGGGAATATTTGACAATGCGTAAATCAAAGCACAATTACAGGTGGTGGACATGCTCAGAGACACTGCATTGCCCCATTTTTTATATTTTTTTTTTGCCCGTCTCCTTAACTATCGGCATCGATCTGATTTAGGAGGGAGCGGATCATCCGAGTGCAGTCAGAAATTTGAGCCCATGACAGGGTAGTTTTTGCCCTGACACTTCCTCATCTTTTTCTCCCCTCGCGTTATTGCCGGAGCGACATTATCTCGCGCCGACCCTTCTCCACAACTCCCAAGGTCATTTCTGGTTGACAAACTACAGCCGGCTTTATAATGTCACAAGCCTTGAACCTCTATAAGCTGTGTTATTTTTATTTTTTTTTTAATTCTAAGCTGCCAACGCAGTAGAGCAGCGGCGCATAATGCCTAATCGACCTGGGATGAAATGTAGTGTGAAATTTCCGGCCGCAGGGTTTTCCGTTCATCTGGATGAATAACTCAAGATTCACTTAAGGAGCATGCTCACGATGAGCGTACACACAGCCATATGTTGCTCATCCTGTGTCATTTTGACTCCTCCATACATTATAGCATGAGCTGGTGTGTCCTATAAAAACATAGTCAGCAGTAAATACATATATAAACTAGTTGCAGGCCAGGATGTGATGACCTTGAATAAAAATACCAAGTTTTCATGATGTTTTCAAAAAAAAGTAAAGAAATGGATTGAATCACTTTTATTTAAAGCAAAAAAGCAACAATTATTTTTATTTCTGCTAAATTGAAACGAGCATCTGGAATTGCATTCGTCTATAGATCAAAATAAAAATTGGTAAAAAATTTAGATGTAGTTTTTAGCTTAACTTATTGAAGCTGAATGCGGTACATTGTTGCTATTCAGTTACAAATTCTTAACATTTATTTTTTTCCCAAAAGTAACTAAACTAAAGTAACTCTCTTCCTGTTCTAGATGACTAGTTTATCCTGCCTCATCCAACCCAAAATCAATTTTTAACTCTTGTCTGGCATCACTTCAGCTGTTGAAACATCCAGTTGGGTCTCTTTGTCCAGTTTGGATTATTTTCCCACAACATGATACTGCCACCACTAAAACCTTTCTCCAGATATTACGTCCACGTAAACAGTAACTTTCAGCCATGCTCAAAGGCGTCCAATTTGGAGCCCCACACTTTGGGATCCACTGCTTTCAAGAATCCAAGCATCACTCCAGATATGCATTTGAAGATTGAATCACTATAACATGACATAAAGCTCAAAAAAGTTGGTTTTATATAATCCCCCCATATAAAAGTAACACCTCAGAACTTGACGAGATTAATTTACCCAACTTGTGTAAAGATGTTCACTTCAATGCATCATTAACAGATATTCTAGGGTCATTTTCACTCACCTTGAAGGCTTTAAATTATTTTTGTGAGATTGAGAACCAACATTTGCAGCTCAGCGTTGTTTTATTCGATCGGCTGAAATTCCAATATAGCAAAAATAATACTGGTTAAGCTTTTCAAACACATCCTCCAACATGGTGATTTAGAGAGTACAGCAGAGTGTGGGGTTGCATCCTCTGCTCTGCCATCCCTCATCCACAGTGTGCGAGTCTCTCCCGTGACCCCCGACCACCCTCCCCCCCCACGGCGGTGTGAGTTTGATGAATGCGGCACATCTGCCCTCCTGAACCGCTGCGACTCTGTCTGGGAGGCCGCCGCGGCTGCAAGTAATGGCTGCTGTTCTACACCGCTGCCACGTAATCACACCCATGAGCACGGGCGAAGGCTTGCACGGGAGTCGTTTATGAGCGTGTGCAAACAATGCAAAGACGTGAATATGTCACTACAGATTGGAGACAGCCCTTACCTTCCACCGGTGTAATAATTCCTGGACGTCCTTCCAAATATCGGCCATGTGCGCCGCGTCGTCTCTGTTGATGTTCCATTATGTACCCATCAACATATTGTCAGGTTTAATGCAGCAACATGATGTCATTAACGTCAGGCCGGCTATACAACCCCTGTCAGACTCACGGCGGAGGATGTCCTCGTCAGGCCATAATTGTTTCCCGATGTCGGAATCATTTTCGGTAGCGTAAATTACCAGCAAACCAACATGGCTGCCCTTCATCTGCATGTCTTTCTGTCCGAAACGGGAAAGAGGGCAGGGCTGGAGCGAGGTCCGCAAAGGGTTGCTGGGAAACGCGGCTGTCAGTCTCACAGGGAGGCAGTCATGCAGGTGCCCTGACTACCTGTTCATCTCCCAGATAATTAATGTGTACAAGGAGCTGCTAATTGCACTTTTCACTAATGATTTATGGGTTTTGTGAAAGGTGGGAAACTGGGGGAAGTGTGTGTGTACACTCTAGTGAGTGAGTACAGCTGGGTGAGGAGACATGATTGATGAAGAGTGTGTGGATGCTGTGTTGTTATAGAGAGACACACCCCAGTTGGCGAGAACTGGTGACACACACACACACACACACACACACACACACACACACACACACTTGGTCAACTGGCATCAATACCCTGCACCTCTTTCAGGTATGTAGGAGTAACTAAATGGACACAAAGATGAGATGGTCCAGTTTGACTCCATCACATCCTTACCTTCCTGAGACCATAAGGCCGGGTGATGAATGGGTATTGACTTCTCAGCTGAATCAGATAATGCTGTGTGAATTCAAATAAACTCGACTGTCTATGAGTTTGTTAAAGCCTGGCACTGTTTCTGAAGGGAGTTGGTTCTGATATTCTTGGTAGGAATTTAGATAGAGATTGGAAAAATAACTGATTCCCAACTTTATTCCCTGCCCATCCATCCAAATCAACTCAGGATCCAAACATCTATCTTTTCATTTATCCGTTTGTCTTCCTATGGTTTTTAGAGAAAAGGCAAATTTATTTTCATATTTATTAACACAGCAATCCAAAGTACTTCACAGAAAAAAAGGTATTAAGGTTTTGTTTTATACTTTGTAGTCTAATAGACTTTGCTAGGTTGGGAATCAAAATTGCAGCATTTTTTACATTTTTGCTTTCACACTGACTCTGTCAAACAAAACCCTTTGAAAAGACTTGTTCCCCTCCTTGCCTGTGGTGGCGCTGCACCAAGAACCACTGATGGAAACCATACAAAACCCCCTGAAGAAGCCATTGAGCAAAACTTTCTTCTTAATGAAATAAATGAAGCAGCATCAGAGTTTAGTGGTCATAGGATTTCTTTCTTGTCTTTGGTAAAAGATGATGGACCATTTCTCCCACTGGTGCCAGACTCTTGTGTTTGTTTATGTAGTCCACCAAAGTCCGCTTCCTGCTTTTGGAGTGGACTCCAGTCCACTCGGCGTTGACATGTGCCTTCCAACCACACCAGAACTGAAGCCTGGGTCCGTAGGTGGACAGAGTTTGCTTCACACACATCAGAGTTTGATTATACAGTCACACCTCCTCAAACTAACCAAACTTTCTGGACAAACAAACTACAGTTCAATTAAAGTGGACTTAACAGTTTAATTTTAGGGTGCAAATACACCCTAAAATAACAAAAAAAAAAATTGTCAGGTTCTTTGGCCAAAGCCTCCATTAAACAACAATGTTTTCATGGACCAAAAGTTTCTGCACAGTTCAGGTTTTCAGACAGTTTGTTTCTGAAACTGAAATTTTGTATTTGGGTGGAAACTGGAGTTTCTGACTGTGAGCCAGAAAAAAACCCTGCTTCATATTAACTCAATTAGTGATCACAAATTAACTTAATTAGTTACCATTCATTACCTGCTTATTCATGTTTCTCTCTTTATTTCTGATTTTTATTTATTTGTTTGTTTTGCTTTCCCAGCTTTTACAGTTTGACAAAGAGCTGTCGATGTTCAAGGATCAACTGGATGAGATGGAGATCACTTTCCCACCCACGTAAGAACCACGGCACTTTTTAGCACCTTTACATCGCAAACATGTTGGTATAGAAACATCTGTAATCCTCTGTTTTATTTAATAACATGTTTACCGTCTCAAAGCAAACACTGCAGCTTTAACATCTTTTCTATGTTAATATGTTTCTGCTTTGTTGAACTTTTTGCACTACATGACATTTGAAGGTGTTTTAGCCTGCAGGGCATGAAAACTGACCTTGAAAGGTTTAATATTTTATAGAATATAACATCCAGTTTTAGAGGAAACTATACAGGAAACCAAATTACTTCACCAGACTTTACATCAAATCACGAGGAAGTAGTTTAGGCCATTCCTAAATAATGGTTTACAAAAAAATAAAATAAAAAAAAAGCTTTTTCTTAGTAGTTAATTGTTAAATGCAAAGTTTTTCTGATATCACTATTAAAACCATAACAACCAGAACACTGAAGGATTTTATGCTGTAAAACCATCCACTTATTTTGCCTTTTTCCACACGTGACCACATCTGTCTTATTTAAAATAGCATGTTTTCTTGTCTTACTCATTTTGAAGAGTAGTTAAAATGTCACATTTATTGCAGACAGTTATGAGTTAATAATTATACAGTCCTAGACACTCTGGTCATCTTCCTGCAAAGTGTAAATTACAGAAAAATATTTGTTACTTAAATTTTGTGTGAATATTAGTGGATTTTTGTAAAAACAGCTAAAAAAATCAAAAACTTTCCTTTCCTTCCAAATAAATATTTTCAACTTGAAATTATTTTACTGCAAAACAAAAAGATTAATTTACCTAGGATGAAAATAAACAAAGCTGGCGCAATGTCATTTTAATGGTTTAAAACACATCTTGTAGGAATACTTTCAGTTTATTCCTGATTTAAATTCAGAGCAGCTTATTAATATTCTGGACATGCAAAAAACTCTTAAAAATCAAACTTAACGCAGTATTTTGTTGTAGTGAGCAGGCTTTTCATGCTCTGAACACTCTAAAACCAGAAGCAGACTCTGTCACTTTTTCTCCAGGCGGTACAATAAAAGCTCTTGAATTCTTGCTTTATAGGGATCAGTATGATTGCACATGTTCCCAAACGGCTCCCGAGTGGATTCGAGTGTGCGTGCCGCACCAAGCGCCACGGGCCGCATTGATAACGCTGTCTCAGCGGGACGAGGTGGAGACGGGAGCCGGCGGTTCTTCTCCTCCTCAAACAAATGCATTTGCAATTAGCCCTTTCAGAGGAGAGGGAGGGCAAACATGTGGCTGGCGCGGAAATATGTTTCGGGGAGCGTTGCGTTAATGGCGCTTGACCTTTGCCGTCGGTTGTGACTCAATCAGTGCAGATAATGAAACGCTGTAATCAAACAATAATTACTTGATAAACTGCTCTGGTGGCAGGCGTGGGGCGGCGGGGGATTTTAACTTGTCTGTGTGTGTGTCTGCGGATGTGTGGGTGTGAGGAAGGACTTTGGAAACATAGGACGTTCCAAATTTGTGTGTGCGTGCGTGTGTGTGTGTGAATCGATTAGAGATTGCTTGTGTGTGGCTCAGTCACGGCGCTGCGAGTCCCTGATTTTTAAATGACTCTGTGTCTTAATCAGGGACCCCATTTACATCACTTTGCATAAGTGACAGGTGGATTTATCGTCCTTTTACACCTCCCGACTCTTGCACCTTTCCATATAACACTGAATCATCTCTCCACAGGGAGGCATGAACCTGCTGCAGCAAAAGAATACAAATGATGTCCTCACACTTGAGGCCATGATGAATCAAACAGATGAAACGCGGGAGCGGCGTATGAAATCCGATTTGATCAACTCTTAGTCTGCCACAAAACACATCATTGTCGAGCTTGTAATGTGCAGCGGTGGCCTAGTTAAACTTAAACAACCCGTTTCTGCCTCTCTGGTACCCTTCCCCCTGTCAAGCCTCACCGATTGCTCACCATCACATGCTCTGTTCAGGACCGTCCCCTCGCCATCTGTGATGTTATTACTCTTTTCTTTTTTTTTTTTTTATGCCGGCCATCAGAGCGGAGCCTCACCGCTGCACACAGGCATGCACACACACGACTCACTTTGCTCCCAATCTATAAATCAATAATAGTCACAAACATTTAATCTTTAAGGTAATTCTCTCCGTGGATTGGATATCACAGTGAGATAGCCTTGCACAAATCAACTGAGGATTTGACAGAAAAGTGATAAAAATGGTGAAACGTGTAAATGATATAGATTAATTTCCGACAGACAGATGGATTTCAAGTTTTTTTTTTTTTTATTATGGTTTACAGCTAATGGACACTCAAAATTGTGTTTCTTATATCTATTTATATATACAGTATATAAATGTTCCATAAAACCATTAAAATCGATGTGTTCAAAACATTTAAGGTTTTTTGGGAGATAGCTTTCTGCTCTGCAATATTTTTTATAATTTTAATAATTTTGTTCTTGTGTAAATTATTGCATTTTTCAGTTCTTAAGGACTGGAGCTGAGTGACCCAGATGTTAGCGTTTCTGAGCCCAAAATTCCCTCTTCAATTCAATTAGAACATGATTATTTATTTTTCCCTGAGTTAAATTAAATGCTATCATATATTTTGGGCAGGAAAAATCTACAATAGCAGTCAGTCTTGCAACAAATCTGATGAGGCCTCTGACTGAAGCCTGCTGCTGTACAACATGCTAACAACTGAATATTTCTCAGTAGCATGTCCTGCATGATAACCATCAGTTGCAAGCACAATTGATCCATCTCATTTGGTTTGCCGCTCCTCTTTCTCTGGCCCTATGATTAGAAAACTGCACAGATCTTGTCGATGAATCTTGCGTTTATTGTTCAGGATGGACAAAAAAAAAATATTATTTTCCGTCAAGTTCTTTAAACATTTACTAAGTAGGTATTTTTCTTTTTAATGGGGAAAACTTGAAAAATCTTTTCACATTTTGGATTTACAAAAACGTGCGTATCCCTTCAATCTTTATTTAACCAGAAAAAAACTGCTTGAGAGAAAATATTTACACAAAATGGTTAAAACAGTTTGTAACAGTAACTAAAGTGTTTCAGATTGGTTAATTGTTCAGTACATAAAACAAAATAATGTTTTGTTTTTCCTTCTTTTTATTCAATTTTCTGGGCCCGCAAGTCAAATGTGACTAAACGTTTGGGCACCTCTGACTTATACTATAATACTTATTGGTGCTTAATTATTTTTTAATATTAAGATATTATTATTGAGATGCACCTGTTTGTCTCAAACCTTGAGTTGTGAGAACAAGACAAAAAGGTGATGCATTTTTCCAAATTTTTTTGTAAAGCAGGAAATTCCTTCTCTCTGCATCTTTGCAGGGGCCGTAAATTTCAAAATATATATTCCTCCACTTTCAAGAAGTCATCTGTCAAAGTCGGTGGTGACACGTCTGAGTACTTGGGCACTGGGGTGAGGAATTTGCCCGGGTCTTGTGACAGTTGGACCTGGAGCCAGTCGGCTGGCGTTCCGACGGGCCGACCAAGCGCCTCAACACCGTCAGGGTGACGCAGGCAGGATCGCATGTCCACTCGGGGAGGGAAAGATGAAACTATTACGCTTATCGTTTATTTAGAAACGGTTTCTCTATCAGCTGTAATACATGAAACTGCCAACCAACCATGAGGCCATGGACTGCTGCACAGCCGTTATTAAAAGTAATGGTAAGTTTTACCGCAGATCATAGTACCTTTTATTTCATATTTTAATGGCATAACATAGGTAATATCCCCCTAAAAACATACAAAAGTACCAGTAACTTATTCATGTATTTTGATTGATTTAAGGGAAAGCTTTTAGTACTCCTCTGATCTGATTTCTCTTCTGTTTTTTTTGCACAAGATCGATGCAAAAATTGAATTGGTCCCCAGCTTCTGAAGAAAAAAGAAAGAAAAAAAGTAAAATAAATGCAGAGGCTGATGAGCGGACCGTGGAGGGAGAATGTATTCGAGCCGTAACGTGGTTACTGCAGTGGGCTTTGAGGGAGATTTTGAGTGACATCAGACGAGCAGCATGACTCCATCAGTGGCCATATCATGAGTGATTTCAGAGCCGGAAGACAATATGGAAGAGGGGAAAGAAGTCAGATAGATTTCTGAGGGATTTCTGTTGGATTTTCAGTCATTTAAAGAATGAAAGCAAAATTGGAGGTACCTAAAGCACATGAAACCAGAATATTAATGATTTACTGATTACTAGTATCAATGACCAGAGGTGCATAAAGTCAGGCTCGGAGTTTGAATCCATGTTTAACCTCAGGATTTCTTATATTCAGCTTTCTTCCTGAATCAAATTTGTAATCTCTGAATAATAGTAAACTTAAGATGATTGAGTTCACCTGCTAGTATTTGTTGTTTACCGCCTGAATTTATTATAATCCATTGCTCCAAATTATTTGGTAGCTAATTTATTGCAACTCCTTTAATTTTTTTCTTCTCTGATTTGTTTTATTTGAAAACTAAGCTTTGGAATTCAGAAAGTCCAAACTAAGATGAAATAAACCAGCAGTTCCAAACACCAAGGGTTGATCAATAATGTTTTGGATATTATCAATCCAAAACTATCAATAACATCAATACTAACTGGATCGAGTCTGGGCTTGTGAGATCAATACTTTAGTTTCAGATTCCCTCTTGAAATTGTATTTAATTTGTGTTGTAGCTTTATCAACTTTACCCCCAAAAATTATTTGCTCTCAAATTATATTTTTTTATACTTTGTTTTGGAAAACAATGCACACAATTGTTTTTCTATTGTTTATCATGTTAATATGTTGTAAAAATATTTAGTAAAAACCTTATTTACCTTATCTGAATTGTGTACTAATTTTTAACAAAATAATAAAAACAGAAAAACTACAAAAGTACCAAAAGCTCAAAAGTTTGATGATATATTAAACTTAAATAACTATAAGTATTGGTATTGGTATTGGTATTGGTATCAGCGATACTGGAACTGTATTTACTTT